TACATAAAGTTCACAGATATATTTTCATCATCAGAGTATGAAACATAGTTATTACAAACCGAGTTGGTAGATAAAAGCGGAAGCAAATTAGGTTTGAAAGTAAAGGTTCCAACATAGTTTAATACAGTGCCAAAATACGATCACGGTCCACAAAAGCATGTAGAAGGATTAATAAGAAGCCTGTCCAAGGCTTACTCCTCATCCACAGCGGGATAGAAGCAACTCTTGCCATAACCATGATACACAGTGCCATCTGCAACAATGGGAAATAAAACCCTGAGTACGAGAAGGTACTCAGCTAGCCTTACCCGTCATAAACCAGAAATAATTCAACTCCAAAAATTATGCAAGGCTATATAAGTGGGGATAGCTTGACAACATTTTGCATAAAAGCGATTAACTTAGTTATACAATTATGGTTCCAATATTAGGTTAATTATAACTATCCATCTCTACATTAGCAACTATCCTATGCCAAACATATGGTATATCCATTTAAGAGCATACAATAGTAACCATAGCAGGTATTGCAATTCCATATTCATCCGAACCATCATATTCCATAACACAGTTACTACGATGTTGGAGCTAGCCAAGTTTCTCACTATCCGGGAGAGACGGCGATTCGAATCGATTTCAACCAGCTGGGAATTTATTCCTAACATAAACCTAGGCATACCGCGCGAAGGCAGCCTTAGGTCACCTTTGGTACAACTCAGGTACACATTTCGCGGGTCCATACCGTGCTGCACAATCTGGGACACCAGATGCCAGGACGTTCAGGCCTAGCCTGCCCTTGGGCTCAGTCTGATCGCCCCCCGCAAGGAGCGCACAACAAAACGGGGCCCGACCTAAGTTGAGCTACTCGGCTTCACGGTCGGAACGAGTTATCCGGCTAGCTAAGTGATAGGCATGCGTTCAATCTTGTCAGAAGTTCCAACAACGGTATGGTCCTTGATCGACATAGATAGAATCTCATGAGTCATCCTACGTATAGACTCCGCCTGGCCTCGATTTTCTTTTACCCTATGGTTCTGTTCCACGATAGCAAATATAGCCAACCGTGCTCCGGTATCCACCTATATCTCGTAGGTGACAGGAAATCACCCGACTTCTACCGGTCTAAGCATGGCTAAGCATATATTTGATCCTAGACCTATACCGATTAAAGGTGTAATATCTGGACAAGGAATTCATATGCATCGAGGGGTTCCAATCAACTCTTATAACCTAATGAATCAATTATAAGTACTTAAGTAATCATTTGTAAAATGCTGATAGACTTAAAATGCTCCGGGGCTTGCCTCGCAGAAAGGAAGTAGGGCGGTGGTCAGGACACTTTGGAAGCTCTTCAGGATTCTGCTCCTCGCCTTCGGGAGCTGTGACTTGAGGATTCTCCTGCTGATCCTCTTCCTCTACTTCGTCGAATTCCAGCAACGTTATTTCTTTCTCCGATCCTAGATGCATGGATATGGCATAAGATATTACGAATGCAAATATGTTAACAAGTGTGGTATGATGATACATGAAGAATGCATTCTGGCAAATATTCTTAACAGCATGTGGTTTAAGTAACAACAGGTGCATCGCGTTTACTGAGTAGGTGCATATCTCTTATTGATTAGGTAATTAATTATTTCAACAATGCATCTAATATTTCACAAACAACAGCTACTTGTTTTACTCATTACTGGAGTTCTAATTATCCAAATGCAGTGATCCTGAACGTTCTGGAAATCTTATAAAATTACCTACAACTCTTATTTAATTCACAAAAGCTAAATCACAACTTATCTTAGCCAAAACAGACAATCATATCAGTGCTATCCAGAAATTCCACAGAACAAGCAATTTCGGAAAAGCTAACTTTAAACAGTTGTAACTCCTAAACCGTTTGACCTATGGTCCTGAAATTTTAACACAAGACATATGATGAAGTTATCTACAACTTTGTTATTAACCATTTTTACAGCAAACATCATTTTTATCATGCAACTTATCAAACTACCGAATCTATCCGGAAACTATTCCAATTCGCATTATAAAGTAACAATACTTCTACTTCATGTAATTATTCAAAGTTTGACAACACAAAGTCTACCAACAGTTTAAACATACCAAATACACTCAAGAAAACCTAATGGTGAAGTCCAAACTATTTCTTTAAATGCCTTTATTATTTTATTTAGATACTTAGGTTAAATAACCAACATATACTTTATTAGACTCATAAATAATTTATAAAAATTCATACAAGGAGCCCCTAATTATAAAAGGAAAATCTATAACTACAAATCTATATATGCACTGATCCTCAAATTTTTACCAGAGCTCATACATGTCAAGAATAGATTACCACAAAAATTTCATAATTTTTGGAGCATAGGAACTCTAGATATAAAATAAACAAGTTTACATTCATTTAAAAACACATTTCAAGTTTCTTTTTAAACCTTCCAGAAACTTACTACACTTGCTAATATCATATTTTTCTTAAATACTACACTTCACCCAGATCCTAACAAAATTTGAACCACCAAATTTGGATCTACAAAACTAGAGATACAAATTTTACAAAACAACACTTAAATCTGGAATATTTGAACTAGCTTTATAATTTTGAGCCGCTGACAGCAGGGACCCATTGGTCAGTAGGGCCCGCCTGTCATCAACACAAAACAGGGGACGACGCTTGCGACGGCGCGGGAGCGGCGCTAGCTCGTCGGCGACAACTTGTCCGGCGAAACCGAGGGCACCGGCGTGCACCTCACGACGAGCCGCACCTAATGAACTACCTAGCTCGGCCTATTGCTGGCGCTAAACACGATGGCGGCGTGCATGGCGGACGGTGGAGGAAGTCCGACGATGCTCCGGCGAGGTCCGGCCATGTAGGGCGCGGCTAAGCTCGGTAGAAGCTTCTAGTGCACGCGGGGAAACTAGTGGAGGGTAGGACGGGGAGTGAGAGGGCTCCGGTGGTGGTCGGCCACGACGAGCGCCAACTCCGACGAGGTCCGAACGGCGACAGAAACAAAAACGCGGCCACTACCTTGGTTCGCCGGCTCAACGGCGAGGTGGAAGAGCTAAAGGAGGCTATGGTGGAGCTTCGGGCTAGCTAGAGGCGGTACTGAAGCGGTGGCGAGCGAGCTGGGCGACGGCGAGGTGCTCGGCTGCAATGGCGGAGAGCTGCGCTGCTGCTTCGTCGATGCGGGCGAGCGAGTGGGAGGCAGGAGAAGCAAAACGGAAATGTGGCGCAGGTGGGGCTCTCGGTCGCGTGCAGGGGCTTCAAATGCCGTGCTCAGGCCCGTCGTGGCCTACGTGGTCGGGGCAACGGCGACACGCAGCCGTGGCTGGCCACCACACGGCGGCTCTGCCCTGCGCCGGTCGGCCACCGAAATGGTTCGGTTCAGTTCATGAGCGCTCGACAGTGCGACTGACAGCGCCAAATGACAGCGTTCAAACTCCTAGTCCAAGGCATATCAGCGAAAACTCCTTAAACCAAAATCGTAGACCTATATACCGGCTACAATACTCCTGTAGAGATCAAAGTCTAATTCGCAATGGATAGAGAGTAACATCATCACCAATGTCGAGCCATAACACTGTAAACCAGTTCTGGACTTCGAAAAAATTCTAAGTGCTGGAAATCAGTGAACTATTGATGGTTGTGAGCTCAAAAACACTAATCTATGCACATAATTAGCTCAAGACCCAAACATAAAAGTTGTTGCTCTACTCAAATACTACAACTTTGCTTTAGTGATCACATACATGCATAGTCTCTAGCACATAGTTCAAACTTGGTCAAACAGGCTACATTCAAATGATGACTTGAACAAGAACTATGACTTAGTAATCTATTTAGCCCTAGCCATGAATACCAAAGTTGTTCATAATGATACTCTAAACCTGTTTAAGCTATTTGCAAGGTCACACAATCAGTTACATGTATTCACTCATGATCATATGCATATATTCCAAGAAACATGAAATAACAAGCAATGTTTTATATGTTTCAACCTCATGTTTCAGTTGTAAATGCTTATATACGAATGCTTGATGCTCATGCTCATGCTATGCAAGTCAAATTGTGCAAGGCTAACACCTAGGGTGTTACATCGGGTGAGTTGTGAATTGGCCCATGAGCCATGAGGGCCTAATTTACTGAACTAGCATCCTGTTCGTTTCGGCTGAATTATCTTATTAGGCATGGTTGAAAGTATTGTTGGCTGGTTTGGTGTGAGGCATGCCTAATTTCTGAACGTACATATGATCCATCATATCTCCATGACTCCATCAGTCCCATCGTCACTCAGTTGAGCGGCGCACACACTCACTCGGCCATCCACGCATCCACAGACCACCACTGCAGGCTTCTCATCGATCCATCCATCATGGCCGCCGCCACCACCACCACCAAGATGTACAACGACACGATGAACGGCGGCATCAACTCCTCCAAGGAGTACTCGGAGCAGCCGTAGCACAACGCTGCGGACACCACCGCCAAGAAGACGCCGGCGGCGACCTCGGAGTCGGAGTGGGAAGCCGTGTCGTCGCTGCTTGACGCGGCGCGTCCCTTCCTCCGGGGCGAGCTGGGTTTGGCGGACCTAGAGCTGCCATCCCTGGGACTGGCGGTGCTGCGCGTGGCGGGCGCCGGCGAGTGCTACCACAAGCACGGCACGTTCCTGGTGCACCTGGAGGACGTGTACCGGATCCTCTGCCTGGGCGCGTCCGACGCCGTGGCGCGCTGCGGCCTCTTCCACTCCTCCTACTCCAACTCCTACGTCGACCTCGCCATCTTCCAGCCCGACACGGGGCGGGGCCAAGTACGCCGCATCATCGGCGCGGACGCCGAGCGCCTCGTCCACCTCTTCTGCGTCGTGCCGAGGTACCAGCTCATATTCGAGCAGCTCCAGCCCCGGTACACGGAGCAGGAGCTTAGGGACCACCTCGCCGCCGCCCAGCAGGGCTAGCTGCTGGGCTCCTCCCCCGTGCTGACGATGCCGTCGTGGCGCTGGAAGCTCCGGTCCGTGGTGCCGCCCGAGGGCGTGGTGGCGACGCACATCCGGGGAGCCTGTGCCGCTGTCGCGCCGGGTGGTGGCGGCGTTCCTGCTCATGACCGTCGCCGACTTCAGCGACCAGTACACGGACTACCAGGACGAGCTGTTCGAGAACGACGACGGCCGGCTCGAGTTCCGCGGTGACGACTGGGCCGCGCTGTGGCCGGGAACCAGAAAGCCTGGGCTTTGGGTCAGCGCCATGTCAGGCTGGCGGCGCTCTACGGCCTCATCACCCGGGACGAGCAGCTGATCGCCATGCAGATGCAGGGGGCTGGCCACCATCACCACGATGATGACATGGTTGTGGGCGAGCTGGTGGTCCCGGCGGTGTTCGAGCGGTGCAGCCGGGTGCTGGACCCCGGGGAGCAGAAGGTGCCGAGGGACCTCTACTGGGAAGCCATCACTACCACCAGGAGCAGCAAGGACAACAGGAAGGACACGGAGGCGCTGCTGCGGGAGAGCATCGCGATGAACCCCTTAGTGGGGGAGCCGCACCTGGTGCTGGCGCAGCTGCTCCTCAACGACGGCAGGTACGCGAAGGCGGAGGCGGCGGCGGCGGCGGGGCGCGGGGTGCGGCTGCTGCTCCAGTGGGGGAGTAGCTGGGACAAGCGCATGTCGTGGGAGGGGTGGGTGTCGTGGGGACGGCTCATGGGGGACAAGGCTCGCCACCGCCGTGGCACCTGGCCGCGCACCGCCTGGGGCATCATCAACCTCGGACTCGTCGAAGGCGTCGCCAACCGCAACTGAAACTGATCGGATCCAGGAGATGGAGCATCGTCCATCGATTCCATGCTAATCATCCATTCGTATGTGGACGGTGTACTGTACCTAGCGTACTAATGGTACTGTACTGGTACGGTGCACGTGATTGTTATTTTGGAACACAGCATATGTATGTGTACTCTATTGTATTGGTTTGCGTGTGCCTTCTGCCTACCACTTTGTCGGGTATCGATATTAAAGGACGTCCAAAGCAAGGGAATTCCCCGGATGGCTCAAGACGTATTAAAAGGTCTCGCCCGACTCTGAGGTCATGGGCTCCGTCTCGCCCGACCTCGAGGCCGTGGACTCCGCCTCGCCCGACCCCGAGGCCGCGGGCTCCGTCATGCCCGACCCCCTAGGAAGCGGGCTCCGTCTCGCCCGACCCTGAGGACGTGGTTTCCTCTTGTGGGGGTATGGCCCCCGGTATCCACAAAACAAGACATGGGCCGCACCATCAGAGGTGACCCAGCCCACCAGATCAAGGCGTGCATGGCACTGCTCGGCGTGCACCGTAAGATATTTTATAGTACCAAATATGATACTTTCCTTATAACCCTACCCCTCCAGAGTATATAAGAAGATGCAGGGGTCCCCTAGTGGACATCGACATACACGATCCATACATCTCATATTCAATACAATACACCAAAGACACAGGACGTAGGGTATTACATCGATCGGCCCGAACCTGTCTAAATCGTTGTCTCTACGCCTTGTGTCACCATCCGGTTCCTGATTATGCGCACCTTCACCGATAAATCTATCTTCGTGGGATACCCCTCGGAGGACTGCCGGGCATCTTTTGTCGACAGTTGACGCTCCTGGTAGGGGTGTGCGCTTGATCCATGACGAGCCAGATGGCAGTTTTCATCGACAACTAAAAAACCGGGTGAGTCATTCTTAGCAACGTTCTTGATTAGATCGATTTGCTCTTCAAATATCTGATCCAGATTAATTTTTCTCCATGTACCGATCGGATCTCATCATGATGCCCGGCTGCCAACAAGCGCTAGATGATTCCCTGGAACGATGCGGCGCTACACCCGTACGACCACCAACAGCGCCGCAGCGGCTGCTACCCTTCACGACAAGATCCAACCACGCCCAGGAGCAACCACCTCGTCACGATCCTAAACCGCTTCATCGGCAGCGTCATCGACAAGCCAATTTCGCCTGCCAAATTCGACTACTCCGACCAGATCAAAAACTCCGAGATTTTGTGTCCGCCGTCCGAGCTGTCAAGCAAGCGTCCGAGCTGCCTAGCCATATGCATCTACCAGGACATCGCGACACGCCGACTACTCTGTCCGGTGACAATTAAGCTAAGTCACGCTTTAATATTTTTCTAAAATATTCTTCGATCTTCGTATATCGCCATAATGTTTCTTCGAGCTGTTTTTCTCCGTGTTTGCTCTCCAAATGATTTTTTGAACCCCCGAACAGTCATGTTGATGCTCGTATGTCCTAGAGACGGCTCTGTCTTCGGCTCCTCCCTACACGTGCTACGGTCTCCGCGCTCTGCGTTATGGGTGGTCGGCAGCGGCTCCTTGGTCAAACATGTTCCTCCTACACGTGCACGGGCTCCAAGCTCGACGTTATGGACTATGGGCTAGCTAGGACCGGAGACTCAGCTACACACTAACTAGTCGGACGGTTTATATTAAATATAAATACATCTTCGCTCCAACTGATCGCCGAGTTACATATGCTATTTCATCGCCATTGCTGATTTTTCTTCGGAGTTCATATATTTTTATATCATGTACTACCCGTTTTATATATTTGTTTTGCGGATCATCGTCCAGGTGATCGGACCACCTGGTGCTCGGACTTCACCACCGATCAACTGGTCGGACCGCTAGGTTCATGAACTTCGTCGCCGACCAGTTGATCGGACTGTTCGCCGGTCGTTTCTACTCAATGCTCACTTCGCTGCCGACCAGTTAACCAGACTGTTCGTCGCTCGTGCTTCATCACCAGCTACGTCGGTTACTCCTCGGCGCTCGGATTCTTCGTGTTCGAGACTAAGTGGGCACACTTCACCGCACGCACGTCGCCAGCTACGCCGAGGACTCCACGGTGCTCGGATGTCGCCCGCTACACTGGGGACTCCTCGGCGCTTGGACGTCGCCAGCTGCGCCGAGAACTTCTCGGTGCTCGAACATCACCGCCTACGCCGAGGACTCTTCGGTGCTCGGACATCGCCAGCGACGCCAGAGACTCCTCGCTCCTCGGTGCTCGGACATCGCCAGCGATGCCACGGACTCCTTGCTCCTCGGTGCTCGGACATCGCCGGCGACGCCGCAGACTCCTCGCTCCTCGGTGCTCGGACATCGCCGGCGACGCCGAGGACTCCTCGCTCATCGATGCTCGGATGTCGCCAGTTACGTAGGGACTCCCTTGCGGGTCGGATCTTGCTATGTCTCATTGGTGTGTTATCAAGCTGCTCCATGCTGTTCGGATCAGCGTGCTGATCTTAGGCAGCACGTCTGGGGTTTTGATACGCGCATGTCAGTTGTCGTCGGCAAGCTTTTAGACTTGTTTTTCTTTGACCCTACTACAAGATTCATTCTTCATCTTTCAGCAGGCTTGGGGACTAAGTGGGCACACTTCACCTTACGGTAAATGTGCGCTTTTCTCATCTCGAGGCTACGCCCGGGGACTGACTGCCTGCTCGGCTGGTCTTCTACTTTCTGACCCTGACACCACGTGACTACGTCATGTACTGTCAGACTCGGGGACTAGCTATGGGGGTATGGCTCCCGGTATCCACAAGACAAGACATGGGCCGCACCATCAGAGGTGGCCCAGCCCACAAGGTCAAGGCGTGCACGGCGCTGCTCAGCGTGCACCGTAAGATATTGTATAGTACCAAATAGGCTACTTTCCTTATAACCCTACCACTACAGAGTATATAAGGAGAGGCAGGGGTCCCCTAGTGGACATCGACATACACGATCCATACATCTCATATTCAATACAATACACCAAAGACATAGGACATAGGGTATTACGTCGATCGGCCTGAATCTGTCTAAATCGCTGTCTCTGCGCCTTGTGTCACCATCCGGTTCCTGATTACGCGCATCTCCACCGACAAATCTACCTTCGTGGGATACCCCTTGGAGGACTACCGACGATATTCTGTCGACACCTCTTGTCTGACGGGGACCCATACTGCCGCCAACCACTCTAGGTCCAAACGTATGGGCCTGGGTCAAACTCTAACGCCAGGAAAGGGACTTGCACGCCTCGATGTAACCCATGGCCATGACGGGCCATACCTGGGGACTCACATCAAGAACAGTGTTGGACGTGTCGGCGCTGTTCTGCCTAACCCTCGTACGAACGCTGACTGGCGCGTCAGTTCACCACGACGTCCGCCGGGACCGAGTGGAACGCTATGACCAGCAGATGATGCCTACGCATGGCGCAGTGACGAACAGTGCCGCGACATGGAGCCGTCTCTGTTGACTTCTGTAGGATCGGCGCGATCCGCATGAAGGAGAAGAAGGATCCGGTAGTCCTGGAAGCCTTCATCTCTCTCTCGTTCTTCTCATTTTTCTCCTCAGTAACCCGTGCTTTTCCTTCGCATATAAAAGGGGAAGCAGGGCGCCTCGTGAAAGGGGGATCGAGATCTCAACACGAGGCATCGAACACAAGAGCACGACATGAGCACACGGTTGAGCGGCAAGCAAGCTCTCAACACCCGTTCACTCCTTCCACCAGAGACTTAGGATCATCTCCCTCTCTCGCTTGTTTGTAACCCCTACTGCAAACCAAGTGCCGGTAACACGAGCAGCATCGAACTGGACGTAGGGACGTTCCGTCCGAACCAGTATAAACCCTTGTGTCCTCCGAGCACACCATCCGAGTCAGACGCGCAAATACAAATTTACCCATTGGTGCTCCGAAAACACCGACAGTTGGCGCTAATAATCGAATGTCGTATGTTAGTGATATACGTATTTACTACCATGCACAGAATCACTGGGCACGAGTTGTCCTAACTCATATGAGCGTGGACCATGAATCCGGACCATATACGGGTTATGGGACACGGAGAGCCTAAGTGCAGGTGGCGACATTGAAGGCAATTGGTTTTTTTCTATCCCTATCTTAGGCCCTGTTCGCTCAAAATTATTAGCCGTACCGTTTCAGCGAAATAACAGTGTTTTTTCTCACAACAAAACAGCATCAACATCAGCATCAGCCGTTTTTCCAACCAGTCGAACAGAACCTTAGTTCTTGTCCCATTCCCTCCAAACGCCCATGGGTTTATATTCATCACTGAGCTCATATGTGACATTTTAGTATTATTGTTTTGGATGGTGAAGAGGTCGCAAGGAATTGGCAGGGCGACATTGCGGATGGGTTATTCATCATGTTCGCTGGTTCGATAAGCCGTTAGTGCTGGTTTGTACGGTTGATTTGTTGTGAGAGAAAAACACTATACCATAGCTAATAAGCCCTGGCTGAAATCAACAAGCGAACATGCTGTTTGTTGGGTGTGATGATGAAGGAGGCTAGCCTGTTTGTTGGGTGTGATGATGGAGGCTAGCTCGTCCCATACCACGTGCTACTCGGAGATGACGGTGAACACAATAGTGTTATTCCTGTTATGCGTCGATGCCGACGTTAGCATTAGAGACTTGGGCCCCGTTCGCTGGTCTAAAACTTGGCTGAAACTGGCTGGTTTTGTGAGAGAGAAACACTGTAGCGGCTGGTTGATGAACAATGTTCGCTGAGGGGGATCAACCAGCTGGTCTGCGAATGTGCCCTTGATAAAATTCATGGGCCTGAAATTTGGCTTTCTTTCGCACAACGGTTATTGCATATATTTTACACTGAAATCACATGTTTAGTTTGTTGCAATTTATATAAGCAGAACCTTTAATTTTGGGTTCTGAGAACAAAAACTGTTAGACAAAACTTATAAAATTTAGTTTGTGTTGGAAAAAAAACAATTAATAATTTTATAATTGTTTCTACAGTAAGGCAAGGACAAAAAATTGATATATGTCAGCACAAAAACAATTAACAATGTATAATTATTTTTATGGTCACATAAGGATTAAATTTTAATATGTTATATGATATAAAGACAAATAATAAATCATAAAAATAACAATTTAATCGTACTAGCCGGCTGTATCTAAAATCATCTTAGAATCTGGGCGCGTAGAACACAGGAGTGCTCGTATTATCCTGGAAGCGGCGCGTATCATCTTAAAAATTTAACGGATGATTCTGTGGTTCTGTGTGCAGTGCAGCTGCCATCGTCATGGGTCGTGATTTTGTGACGAACCGTCTCACGACTCCCTAGAGCATTTCGAAACCGGAGGTCTGCACTGGAGGCTGACTCTGCAAATCGTGCGCCATCTGGATGCTGGAGCTCGGAGCCATGGCGGCGGCCGACCGGCAGAAAAAGAAAGCACACCGGGGACACCTACCTCCTCTGGGGCTAAAACGCGGTTTACGATCATGGATTATTACTGCTGGCTGGTTTGATATGAGAGAAAAAATATTATCTTAGTTGAAAATTTACGATTGTTTACGACCCCGCGAACAGGCGGGCAGAGCGTGACACGCGCTCCCCCTACGTGGGCCGCACTGCCCAGGGACGCACCGGCCACGTCGCCGTGCTGGTGGTGGCGCGGAACGACGCGCTCTTCCACCGCATGGCGGGTGGCGTGCCCAACTGTTGAATTCCGTTGCGCTCTTGCTTTGCTTTCGTTATTATCTTTGACGAGGCCGCAGCGGAGTGGGCCGGCCCAGGGTCAGGCAAGGCCACAAGAACAACAACATGGGCCGCATAAATATGGTCCATGGCCCCATATGGATGAGTAACACATAGTATAGTACTATATTATATATTTATTTACTATTAAATTCACAAGCCATCCTTGTTTTTCTCAAAAAAAAAAGTCATCCTTGTATGTATGTAACACTTCTCGTTCATTAGACTACTCCTACAGGTTGCCTCAAACAACATAAGTTAATGCTAGGGGTCGTATTATGAAAGCAAACAAGCCTAACGATTCACTTTGTAATATGCTTATCCATGTCACAAAGGCAGAGAGTGAGAATCTTGGGTGATGCGATGCGACGCGATTGCAATTTACAAGGCAGGATCATGTCAGTCACAGGCTTTATTATGTAGGAGTACGCACAGACGTACATACAGTATCTCTTTTTCTTTTTCCTTTTGCATTGACACATACAGCCTGTTTGCTTGATGGTTTTAACAAGTGTTTATCAGCCAGCTAACAGTGTTTTTCTCTCACAACAAACCAGCACCAGCCAGACTTCTCAGCCCAGAAACCAACCAGCGAACATGCCGATAACCTAAACAAAAGGCTGCTCAATTACCAGTCAGATTACTTTCTATCACCCCTGAAGAGTGCAACTCGTGACTTGTACACATGATTCGCACGTTTGTTCATCAATGACTTACCTCTGGTCAAGAGTCAACATGGGACTAGAAAAATAGGCTTGGCAGAACAATGCAAGCTCACTTTTCCGAGACAGGAGCAGGACAACATGTTATGTTTAGTTTGAGTGCAGTCTGAACTGGATTAGAAAGCCGAAGCAGAAGTTTGCAATTGAAAAATGAGTGCCAAAGCAGCAGGAGCGGGAAGAGCACATGGCCTGGCGATCGTATACTCGTATGTACTATACGCCTAGGCTCTACTAGGGGGTAAAGACGACGACGACATGGAGGGAGGGAGAGCTGACCATCGTCGACTCCTGAGTTATCTTTTGTTTTCAGATCTTATCCAAAAGGCCAGGCAACCAGATTTGCTTCAGAAAGAGGAGGTGCAAAAGGCCAAAAGGGAAATAAGTAGACAAGACGGAGGCTAGTGACTAGTGAGAGAGATGATCCCCCACTCAAACACCACACCAGACAGCAACAGTGCAGAGAATCAACAAAAGAATGATGGTCATTATAGTTAACTAAAGGCAGGTGACACCAACCAAAGGCTCGCTGGTCTTACGAGTCATGCTATTTCAACGAACGAACAGTGCTTTTCTCTCACAATAAATCATTTAGATGGATTTTCAGCAAAGCGAACGGGCGAGCCACACAAGGAAACAGCCGCGATTCCTTATCAAAAGCTGGTTTGCCACCACCACAGTACACACAGTAGCACACACCCAGTCTCCCAAGGAGACGGACGAGAAGGATGCATGATTACTATTGGAATATCCTACGCAAAAAGAGAATTCCAGCGTTACTACTACAGACACATCAGGATTTGCAGCTGCAATGCCCCAATGCAGCGCGCAAGTACCTGACAATTCCCATCCACCAGTGTCCAATTTTGCAGGCTACTACGTGCTCCAATTTTGCAACCATGATTGTACGATTGACACTGCATACAAAGGGAAAATCTGCCTAGGAGTGCACGATCCTGATGGTACCTAAAGTAACAAGACAGAGACGCAGCAACCAACAGCAGGCACATAATATGCCATGGCAAGAAACTGGATGTTGAATTGAATGGAACAAACCTTATTTTTCCAATTATTATTTTTTGTCCATTAATTGATCAACAAACACATCATCAAACAATCCGTACGTGGATACATACATACATACAGGACAGGGCCTGAACTGAGCTACTGCCAACAGCTGATGACTAATAAATAAGTACTTAGACTACCAGTGGTACTTATATTATTCTCAAGCACTAATCCAATCCAGATAAGAGCTCAAAAAAGAAACCAACTTAACTGCTAAGTAAATGACAGCAAGCAGACGCAGCACAGCAGAGCAAGGGAGAGGAGGAACATATACATGTGGACAACTTAACAGCCAGGGCCAGCCTCAGTCTGTCTTCCCTCCGAGACTGACAGACACAACACAATCATAGGATGGGAGAGCTGATGCAGCTGTAGGGATGGACGACGATTCCACGCCATTTGCTTGGTACTCGCTCCTCTTTGTTTTGTGCAATAAGGAGAAGACTGCACTGGACCTGCTGCTTATTGTTCTTGTTCTGTTGCAAGAAACAGCTCACAAGGAAAGCAAGGATAAACCACATTCCTGTTCTGAGTTGTGACAGTCCCCAACAGATGATCCTTCAGGAGCTTTGCTACTGTGGATGCTGCAATGCAAGAAGGGGTGGAGTGACACAAGAGACCCAGTAGTGACTAGTGACAAGCAAGCAAGCGGCTGGACCTCCAATGCCGCCGCCGGCCGACGCTGAATGGGAAGAACAGAGCAGAGCAGAGCAAGCCTTGCATTTCCTTTCTTTCCTTGTTGCAGTGAAATTGAGCAGGTGATGAGTGATGATAATCTGTTGCAGCTGCTTTGCTTGATTGCTTACTTGAAGGCCACCCAATTCGGGTGGCCAACACGACACTAGAAGAAAGGAAAAGGAAGCCCAAAAAAAAAATGGAAGGAAGGCGACATGGCTGCGACTGAGAGTTGAGTGAGAGTGACACTATCAATCTATCCATCCCTCCTGAATTGAGCACGCACACTGCACAAGACTGACTGACTGACTGACAGAGAGACAAGACACGCGGAATGGAGCTGAGCAGCCAAGCCAAGCAAACCGGAGAAGTCGGAATTGGAAACCCTAGTGAAAGGGGAAGAGTAGGCCAGGCCGCCCTAAAACCCTAGCGGCGGCGGACGGGACCCGGGAAGCGGAGATGAGTGAGATGACGAGGACCCTCAGCCGCTCAGCGTGCTGTCTCCTCCTCGGCCCGGCCGGCGGTGGCGGCGGCAGCCGTGGGAGCCGGCCCGCCGGAGAAGGAGGCGAGCAGGTTGAGGTTGCCCTGCGCGACGGGGAGGTAGTTGCCGACCCTGGCGGCGGCGGCCGCGGCCACCATCATCTCCGGCGCGGCCGCGAAGCTCCAGAGCTGGCCGAAGTCGGCCCGCGCCGGCAGCGCCCAGAACCCCGGTGCCGGGGCGGCGACGGTGGGCTCGGCGTCGGCGCCGTCCCCGCGGACGCGCTTGCCGAGGATGAAGGGCGCGGAGGCGGCGTGCGGGAGGCCGCCGGTGGGGGAGGCGGCCAGCGGGTGCGGGCTGGTGGAGGACGGGGATGAGGTGGAGAAGGAGGCCGGCGTGGTGCCGGTGCCGGTGGCGGCGATGATGGAGGGCTCGGCCTGGCGGAGCAGCCACTCGATGGTCTGGCCGTCGGACTTGTGGCCGAGCTCCCGCGTGAGCTGGAACACGCGGGCGGCGCAGATGATGGGCATGCGGATGCGCCGGCCACGCCCGTCCACCTTGCTGTGGCGGTCCTTGGAGGGCGCCTTGCGGACGGCCAGCGCGCCGGAGTTGCCGTTGCCGTTGGAGGCCGGCACGAGCTGCTTGTCCGCGGGCGCGGCGCTGCCGCTGCCGTCTGGCCTCGTCGTCATGAGGAGGGTGGCACGGACGGACGGAGGCTGCCCCTGGCCCAATTCGCTGTGGCAGCGGGACTGGCTGAGCGGTGGTGACGGGTGGCTGCCGCCTGGCGGAGCAGAGCAGGAAGAGAGGCGGAATGGAGCCGGTGGAGGGCGGGGCGAATGATTGAGGCCCAAGCCGGCCGGTGGGTGGAGACAGCACATGGGGGAGCGGTGGGGACCACGAGCCCCACCCTCGTGTCCCCACTCCCAGGCTGACCGGTGGACTCGGGAGGATGGTAGAACCCATATGTCAGTTACAGGGATTACCTGTGACTCGGGTAGCGTAGCTGAAGGTAATAGAGGCGAGGGGGGCCCTCGTCCTCGTCCCCTCTGGCCTGTGCCCCTGCTCCCTGGCCCCACCAGTCCTCCTCCCTCCGATCCGAAGCGAAATGGAATTTCACCAGGACACGTACGTACATTTAAATATACAGTACATTATATTTTGGATACAAAACAGTTACATATGAAGCAACTACCTTTTTATCCATGAATCGATAATACGATCCTATGTGCCATCTCTGTAAAATTTAGATAAAAAGGAAATTTAAACAAGTTTATTTTTAGGGCGTGCATTGTAAGGGGTTTGTCTGAAACCAAACGGTTGTGCGAAACATCGTCATCGCCTCAAGAAAGGTGACTAGGCGAGATATAGTACTCCATACATGTACCGCAAGTTTAATGTGACGAAAATCTTCTTTTTATACAGTACTAAATTTTGGATTCTGGACGAACTAAACATGGCCTTAGAGATCAGCCGAGAAAGGTCGGCTCCGGAGCGATAGTGATGTGACGGAGGAGAACCTCCCATGCAAGCTCATCTGCAGAGGGGAGAGCGGGTGGGTGTGGCATCGCTATCGAGCCCGATCGGGTCCCGTCCCTTCCAGTTTCCTTCACACAGGCAGGTAGGGCCCACGCAGTCCAGCTCTCCCTCCCTCCCTCCCTCGGTGGCTATCCGTTGGTGACGTCGGCGTCGACCCTCTACTCTGAAAGTCTGTCCCGTCCGGATAACCCAATCACTCACTGGTGCTCTGCTCCCAAGTCCCAAGATTCCTGGAATTCTCACAGCGACAGTGCAGGAGATAGATCGAGTAAAAACAAAAACAGTGTTTGTTACGGGTTACGGCGGTGGCCCACCCAATCCTTCTGTTCACCAGTCACCGGACTCACCGCAAGCCTAACAGTAGTAACGTGCAGGTGGACACTGGACTGCAAGTGGAGGGAGCTGCCTGGTCCAACCATCCCAGCTGTACCCACTCAATATTCTACCCAAATTACTTCCCCCATCCCAAAACAATACTACCATTCTAAGTAGGTCTGTTTGAATTAAGTCAAACTTTTATCAAGTGTCCGGGCCGCCGTCTGCTGCCCGGGTCCGCTTGCCTGCCTGCTTGTCCTACGCGGCTATGACACGGCCGAGCACCAGCACATGTGCCCGCACGCGCCCTGCCATTGGGGCCGGGGCCGTTGGGGCTGTATGATCTCTGGTACACCTAAACGTGAGTGAATAGGTCTGTAAAAATTCAACTCAAATCGAAGTCAAATTCATCTACGGCACTGCCGTTCCAAACAGCGGCACTGACGCACCTACAGGAGAGATTAGTTCACAGTTCAAAAACTACCCAACGAAATTTAGATCGGTGTAAATTTCTTAACTTCCTATAGGGTAGTAGATCACAGTCGACTGCTGAAAAGTGGTGGGAACACTATACACAAGTAGATCGGCCTCAAACTCTAGAAATCACCTCAACCATAATATGTCAAGCACAAGTGACACAATGATTTTTCCTATGGTTCGGCTCACCACCAAGGCTTGCCTACCTCCATGTTGTTGTGGTTAACCACTAAGGCTTAGAGCTTTCCAGTCCTTCCTCATTCTCAAGTCAAGAGACTTAACTCTTGAGATAAGGGGTGGATTTACTAGTTTCAAGAGATGGTTACAAACCTCCTGAGGCTATTACACAAGTTGGCAACTTCCACGGGTGACGCTCTAGACGGCTAGAAGCCAAGCTCCAAGAGTAACAAACACAACCGCCAGTCAAAACATGAACCAAGTGCTCTTTAGAACTTGGGAATCAATGGAGTTGCTCTCTAATCAATTTTTGGACCCTTTTTCCTCAAGGATTGATGGGAAAATCAATGAATTTGCTTGGGGACTTTAGGTCAACAATGGAGTAAGAGAGAGAGCTCCTGCTCTGCTTTGAACATGCTCAAGTGAGAAAGAAAAGACAGGTTGGTTACCGTTGGAAAGGAAGGGGAAAGGTATATATACCTCCCAGCCCCCAACGGTCACTTTAAATCGCATATATCCGTTGGCGAGGAAAGGGAAAGGTATATATATATACCCTCCGGACACCACACCCAAAAATGGATGACGGCATGTCCGCCACTAGGTCAGGCTTGACAGATGTAGGTCTATACACCCAAGGGGTTCCAAGCGAGGCGGATCTCATCCTCGGGATCGGGCGAGCTGATCCCGCGACCAATGGGTCGAACGAGGCGGATCCAAGAACCCCTCAGGGGTCTCGAGTTTAACCAAAAAATCGCTCTCTTGTCAAGACAATTTGAGGGTAATATTGAAGTGTAGACATGCTTTCTTTGTGAATCTGAGGATGCTTGTGGTTGTTTGAGCACTTGGTAGCACATATTAGCTTAAGCATTGTGTCCCCCTTTATAGTACGGCTTTTCCTATACTCAAATTCAAGATATAAAAGAATCTTAAACTTCTTTTGAGTTTGAAGCCATCTACATTTATAATTGGGGGCTCATCCGTTTCGTGTAGCGTCCTTGAATATAAATTCTCTGCTTGTCATCTCGATAAATCTCATTAGTTCTCTAATTGCGTGATCATTATCACAAAAACTCACAATTAGGGCTTGATTGCACTTTCAGACTTTCGGCGGTGCGGCTGGCGGGCGGGGTGGGCGACGGCCTGGGCATGGGGCAGCTGATGGTGGGAGCGCCCGGCATGCTCATCTGCAGAGGGAGAGCGAGTGGGTGTGGCCACCATGGTGCCGAGCCCCTAGGGCCATGGCCATGATCGCTCAGCAGGAGCGCGGGATGGGATGGGACGGGGGGCAGGCTTGGCTTGACTTGGTCTTTGGGAGGCAGGTCTAGGCCGCTAAGCAAGGGCGGGCGAGAGGAGGCGATAGGAGCTCAATAGCCTCGGCTTAGTGGCAAGCAGTTAGGGTGTGGGAAGAAGAAGAAAAAAAAATGAAAAGAGAAAGAGGCAGGGGTATTAAGGACATTTCATCGCTCTTCTCTCTCCTCTAAACCCAGAAATAAATATTTTATTCGGTCCGGTGTCCACTAGTAAATTTGACAAAGAAGCAGAGTGTTTATCAACAAACTTCTCTATTTTGCATGCCCAGCAGCAAATAGAGGTCACTTTCAGTGTCCCGTAGCTAATTTTGCCATAAAAAATATACTTATTCTATTGATTCATCTAATGGCTTTCACTGAGCATCACATATATTACTATCTTTTATACATATTTGATCGAGCTTGAGATTCATTGGCTCAACGAAAAAGCGAGGGCTGTAACACCCTAGGTGTTTGCCACCGGTTAAGCAATGGGTTTGAGCTAAAACCTGGTATATTAAGTGAGGATGAAGATGTCAATGTCAAACCTATAGAAACGAGCCCCAACCTAAACTTGGATTTTGCACCTTTGCTCGCCTATAGACCCCTTTTCAAGATATATGCTTGGGTGGTGTGATTGGGATATCTTCATGTGTCTCACATAAATACCCATCTATATTGGGCACTCGAAAAGTTTCATGAAGTTTGGAATCAAAAAGTCACATGAAATGACGAGTTATGTCCTTGCTTGAATTAATTTATAAAGTGAATGGAATTCTCGATCGTCAACCAAATCTTGCAACCACGCCCAAATGACTCTAGATGAACTCTACAACAAAAGTCATGAAAGGTTCATGTTGAGCAAATGCCAAGAAAACGCCCCAATGGATCAAAAGGATAATTTAAGCTTCATCGTGATCCTACTTTGGTCAAAGTAGAACAGTAGGTTCTATACCAGTTTTGAGGTTGGACCTTAAATGAAAGTTGTAGTCCATATCATGTAGAACAAACTTTGTTTTTGGACTAAGAGCTAGATCATCTTGGAAGTAAGTCAAATCGAGGTCACAAGATCGAATTTGTCCTGATTTCAGCACTTAGAAATATTCTAAGTCCGAAATTCATCGACATCGGCATTGACGTCTCGCGTTCTCCGAAATTCGTTAAGCAACTTGACTTGACCCCAAAATAAAAGTTGGAGCTTATGTGGTGGAGAAGAGCAGGCAAGAAGATGGCACTTGTCGGACTTCATTTTGCCCATCAATATGGAAAGATTGTTAATTGTTGCCGATACTTTGACAATGTCATATTGGCACTTGATTATTTCCTAATCTATAGCTCTAATGGCTGTGCACTCTTAATATGAAATGTAGAGTAGGCGAGATTGACAACTTTGCTTTTGGGCCCAAAGTCTAATTCGGACCCGAGCTAGCCCAAAAACGGCAGTCACCTTGTCCACTTCACGCACGCCCACGTGCTCGACGTTTGCCTCCGTGGCGACTAGCGCAAGCACCACGCGCCCACCTCCTCGCCAGCGGTCCCGGCCGCCTGCCACGCCCTGGCTGCCTGCATAATGGAGGCCGAGCTATCCTGGCTCCCCCACCATCCTGCTCTCTGCTGCTCTGCCTCGCCGCCTCCTTCGCTCAAGATTCTAACGCCAAATAAATAATCACCATGGCCGCCGGAAAGCTACCGCCATTCTTGTTCTCGCCGCCCCGCTCTGTCCTTCCCCCACGAGCACCGCCTCAAGTCAGACTTTCTCCTCACGTCGTCCGGTGCTCGCCGTCTGAAACCGCCACCCAGGTCCGCTGAAGCCTGCTTGTCCACGCGCCGCTAGCCACCGCCACGTGGCCGCCGCCATGCACCACCTTGGCTAAGCACGCGCCCCTGCGGTGCCGTGGACCTCCTGGTGCTTCCCCATCATTCCCACGCCACCGACCCTTCTCCGGGGCCACCGACCGATTCCCCATGATCTCTGATGCTCCAAATTCGCGTCAGGGACCTCGCGCGACAATTCGACTAAAGGGAGGTGTAACTGCAATGTCATAGACTCAGGTGAATAGTGCCATAAGGACTGGTTTGTAATT